ACTATTCTTAAGACTTTCAAAAAATTCATTCCTGCCTCTGACAGTTTCCAAAAGAGATGGAAGAGATGGTAATGACCACCCTGTAATCCGAGTAATTTAACGACTTCTTTATCTTACCTGTAAGTCATGGCCTCAATTAAAATAGGTCTTTCTTGATTTACTGCAACATCACGTGCTGCTTTGGTGACGTTATAAACTGCGAAGACATCATTGCCATCCACACGAATTGTCATCATCCCATAGCCCCTGCCACGCCCAGCTTAAAATAAAGAATACAATATGCTTATCCTGCAGACTAATACACCTTACAGCTAGCCTGCGAGTTAGCTCTCAGGGGCGCTCTGGCGGCAGGGCAGGAAAAGGAAGGAGACCATGCAACTACGTCTCTGGAATTTGAATTCTACCTCCAATTCTCCTGTGGCCCCCCATCGACTGAGCGCGAAGCGGAAACGAGCGCGAATGTAAACAAACATTGAAAAACACCTTCCAAGGGTAATGATGTCATGACTAATGTCATCTCCGCCAATCAGCATTTCGCATCGACCTTTTCGTTGCAGCTATTCTAGCCTACGTGTAGCCGCACCCTCCGCCTCCCCCGTTTTTCCTTCGTCGGGGGGAGGGTGCCACTACACGTAGGCTACAGCTATTCAAATTCCAGAGACATAGTTGCAAGTTCTCCTTCTTTTTTCCCGCCCCACCGCCAGAGCGCCCCTGAGGGCTTGCTAGCAAGCTACTTTATAGCTCATGAAACACTGGAATGTGATGTTTGCCGCAATCTTTTAAATTACTCTTTCCTTTTCACTCCCAGAGTGAATGATTGAGTATTATAAGGTGGTTCCAACTTTTGAGTCTTTGGACGAAATCCATGGTGTGACCATTCAAATGACAGTATTTTTTCCGTCATTATACAAGATGAAATTTGAAATTCCTGAAATGTTTACTTTGTCAACTCTTGGAGGTAAAAGGTTAATGTGAACACAGTGAAATCTGTATTAAACGTTCACCCTCTATTGAGCAATCCATTTATTCTCCTTATTTACTTTATAAAGGGGCACCTCTATTAAGCGGACGCAGATTCCTAAAAAGTGGATGCAGTGGTCATGTCTATTGTTACATTCTTGTATCAAACGAACACTTGTCATTAGATTCCGCAGTCGAAGATGACAGACACCTAAAATTCTGGCTTAAGATTTCCACCCACAAATTTGCACAACACGATCGTTCCAAAAACCTACAGTGACCTTTTACTTTTGTACTTCTAGCGTAAGGTTCACTAACCTATTCCATCTCCTCTGTATTGCTCATCCGTAGGAGTAGATATTGCATAGCCATTGTTACGACTGTTGATACAAAGAGAAATGCTGCTCAGTGAAGACAATTCAATAAAAAAGATAAAACACAAAAGACCAAAGTGTTTAAACGTGGCCTGAAAGGTGAGACTGTTTATTGCCTTACAAGCTCGGTAAGATAAATGATGGGTGCTATAAGTTCATTTTGAATTTAACTCCAACATTCTAACCAATATGCAAAGTCAGTTTGTCAAAGAGGTTGTGAACAGTGCGCGGAAGAAATCTGAAGGTTGCAGATCAATGAATCAACTCAACTCAACTCATCTCAATTTTATTTTCTTGCCATGTTCTCATAAAAGGCTGGTCACCACCGTAGTCTACGTCCTGCACTCTTTATGAACAGTAAAATGGGTCATATTACTTCCCACAAAGGCCAAATCACTGAGGGTGATTTAAAAGGGAACCTATTGTTTTTAGTCCTTGTGTAAGGACACTAGAATATTAACCCATCCGCATTTCGCCCGCGTAGGGTCAGGCAACACATTCTTCATCAATCATTTCAGTTAAGGCCCTGAGTGTTTGTTCCGCCGAAAATTGAACCCGGTCTCTCCTCAACAAACTGAGGAAGCCTGTCGGTGACACGCCCGGGACTACAAAACTGCATAGTCCATATTGAGATAACCAAAATTTAATTCACAACTCAAGTTATGTGTAAGCTTTTTAACTATAGCAATGTTAAAAGTTTACCAGAAGAAAACAACAGGTGCTTCCAGAGTTGCAGCAAAATTGAATGCTGCATGGGCATCTCCTTCGCTTGCGGTTCCTTCACCAAAGTAACAGATGACACAATTTCCAGTGCCTGCTCTTTTCATTGCATAGGCATATCCAGTTGCTGAATCAGAAAGATATTGTCAGAGTTGCCGCATGTAAAGTAATTTTTTTTGCATGTGGAATCTGGAATCGTGGGCTTTGGAATCCGCAATTCATCTAAAGGAATCCAATCGCGAACCCAACTTCATATGATAATGAACCCGGAATCAACAGCTCGATCGTGGAATCCAGAATCCAAGTTTGTCTTGGATTACCTAACATAGGCCGGGGATGATGGGGGAGATTTGGAAAATTTACCATAGCCCACTTTTGTTATATTAGAATTTTGTCATGACTCCGAGGCTTTAGGGTCGAAATTGCAAATTTGTCATCACTCCATTGTGTCGCAATTCCCAGAAGAGATTTGAGCATAAAGAAAACCAAACCAAATATAGAAAAATGCCCAGAAAGCCTCGGAGTCATGACAAAATTCTAATATAACAAAAGTGGGCTATGGTAAATTAATATAGAGTGATTTTACTTGAACCATGAAACAGATACTAATAAGTAGTGCAAAAAAGCAAGTAGTAAACAAAAGAAGACAATGGGATTAGTGCGTAATAGTGTATAGTATAGTATAGTGCATAGTAGTAGCTCACGGGTTAAGTTAATAAAATCACTTTATTTTATCAGAAACGGTGACATAATAATAATGTTACCGTTTCTGATGAAATAAAGTGAATAAATTAAAATCCCAATTGAATTGGGCAGTATTTTAATGATAAAATGTGATCTGTTCATTGCACCAATTAAAATCAAATTTATGTAGTGTTGACCAGTGTTACTTTAAGTGTTTTTACTGATTTGACAAAAAGAAGCGCTAATTGGATGGCACCCGAGTGGAGTTACAAGAACCAGAATTCGAGTTATCGGGGTAAATTTCAGTGAATCAAGGGAATGAATTAGTTCAAGCTAGAAGGGAATTCGAGTCATCCAAGTAAATATGACTGAAAAGTAGGGTGAAATCCAAGGGAAATTGGACTTACTTCGAGTTAGTAGGGAGTTCGAGTTATCCGAGGTTCTACTTTATATTCGCGCTCGTATTACAAGTTTTGTCATGCCCTATGACACAAAACATGTAATCACGTGGTGATTACTTAAATAAACGTGGACCTCATTTAAGGGGCGGCTGTACACAGACTAATCTAATTTAATTTCAGGTATCTCTTAACCTTAACTTGCGTCATACTGTTGTTACTAGTAATCTACAATCTGATGTTTGAAATTCAAAGGTAACTTTAACATAACACAGTTAACACCTACTAACGACGAACTAACCTTGTGGCATCTGAGTAGCAAGGGGGGATGAAATAGTAACAAAGTTAAGATCTTTAGAACCATAATGAACGGGCATTTGTCGTCCTTTTCTATTATCATTCCGATTAGAAAAGCACTGGCTCATGTATTCGTCTATTGTGAAGCCTCTTGACATCAGCACACCAGCCTCACGGTACTGGGCGAATATTACATCTTCAGGCAACAGAGCAGCCGCGCTACCAAAATGAGTGCCTTCTTCACCATAATTTGTCATGTAAAATGATATCCGTCCCTGTGAAATGGAAACGCAAATGGTGCCGGTGTTCCTCTCTTTCCAGCCAGTGGCTGAATAGCATAGGAACTAGAGAGGTGAGATTAGACGACAGTGTGTTTAAAGACGCATTCTGCACCCGCTTAAGCCGGTTCCTGTTTGATCCCCTCAGGGCCCGCACCTCGCCCACACAGACAAGTGATGATGACGGGACAAGTCGGATAGACCATAACACCGGGGCCTAGGTCCCCAACACTTTCCGAACAGTGTCAAGGATTCTTTTACATTTTCCTTGCAGCTGATGTGCATGGTTATTTAAAGGAGTCAACGCCAATGGTTTCACGCTACCGGGCAATGACACTATCATCTGAGCTCAAAAAAGCGTTTTAATCGCGGCTAGCATAGTCTTACCAGTTTTTGCGGGCGAAGGAGGAGCCCGCAATCCTAATCTCCAGGTTGCTATTACGCATGCGTCCCATGTATTCGTTTGGACTCCAACTATGAATGAATGGAATGCACACAGAACGCATTTTGATCAGGCGCGTTTGGACCTTCTGTCAATCGTAATCTGATCACACGTGTTTTTATCATCTGTCACGTGCAAACTTACGCAAAGCACAGCGCTCGAGCAAGAGCGTTTTGGACCTCCGATCGTTGTCGCCGGCACTCTCTAACCATTGGTTATTACTAATTTTCTTAAAGACCTTTTGGTGCTCCTGCTGGGGTTCGAGCTCACGGCCTCATATTCAGCAGACCGGCACTCTACCAACGAGCAAACCGGGCGTCGGTAAAATTCTAATGATTATATGTTTTAGTTTCTGATATTTTGAAAGGAAGCCAATCGCCTACAATATATATATTTATTATATAAACACCCATGAAATACCAGGCAAGCTTTCCCGACAAAAGACGATTTCTTCACGCCTGAAAAGATCGCCGTTACATTACATGACCGCTTGGAGATACGAAGTTTCTCTTCTCCGGTTTTAAATAATATTTCACTCGTTCGCACTCGAAGAGAAATTTCATATCTTCGCGCGGCCATGTAATATGGATTCGGATTAAACATACTTGTCGTTGTGCCTCATAAAGGATACGCTCCATTGTATTAAAAAGGATCATCTTTTTGTACATATCTTGTACGGTTTCTTTCTTCAGCTAGGGAAAAACACAGACAAGAATAATACCAATCAATAATAATCCATAACGAGATCAAGTTGGTGGATTCGTGGTAATAGGGAAACCCATGCAAACTGCATACTACTATCGCGTGACCACGATCTTCAGAACGTTGTTCGAGATTTACTTAGGTA